TTCTAAGCTTCAAATAGCAATGTAAAGAGCCCAATTGGACAGCAGAATCGGAGCTCAGTGAATGAGTGACTTGGCTTATGTGTAGATTCTCATATTTTCTCATGGCCATTTGAAGTCAAATGATTAGGAGGGTGTGCCAGCCAGGGCTGTGAATTTTGAAAGCTCCTAGTAAACATGTCAGATCGGATCGGATCAGGTTCGATCCAAAGGTCATTGATCCAAACATTGATCAAAGCCTTAATGAACTCGGACTGGAAAGGAGAAACCAAAGGAAACGGCTGATCGATCGTTTAATGTTACCCTGAAGCTGGTTCAATATTGGCCAAAATCAAGGTTTAATTGATTCGTAAATGTTATTTTTTTCCTCAGTTTTCACATTTTTAAGTTTTCAAGTAAGCTGAATCAAATTGAGAAAACTCAAATCAAATCAAATGAAATCAAATTGAGAAAACTACTTTAAAGGTGTGAATGTAATCAACCATTGTTCAATTTTAAAATGTCCACTACATGAAAAGTCATTTTAAAATTTAGGGACTTTGTTTTAAGGCCGCATTTCTTTCTTTCTGCTTTCTTGCGTCACTTGGAATCTTTTTCATGAATGCCTCTATTCAAACGACATCAAGCAGTTAAATGCACAACACAAACATCTCCACATCCTAGTGCACATGGCCGACTCCACGTCTTCACCTCAGAAATCATCCAATCACCAGATGCTCCATAGAGATGAGTACACGTTTTGTGATTTGTTCCTTTTCGAAAAACAGTCACAATGTCGACACGTCCTTCCCATTTATCACCATAATTCGCTGCACGCTTTGCTAGCGATTGGATCCCGTCGTGAAGTTGTGTCGATTTCAAAATGTCTTGAAAGTAACGACTAAAATAAAGTATTATCTCAATTTTTTCCAAATTTCGATCATTTGGTCCCCCACATGGGTCAAAATTTCAAAAAATATGTTTTCAATTTGTTTTGCCTCTCTACCAGTCAATTTAAGTTAAAAAATTAATATTTAGTGGTTAAAAGTGGTTTTGGTTTTAGGACTAGTTTTGACCTTGAGAAGTGCCCCAATAGTCGATAGCTTGCGTACACAAATTTAAAGTTGCATTTAAAGTGCAAAAAAGTGTAGTTTTCAACGCGTCGAAATTTCGGCTTTTCGATTGAGAACTTATTCTAAAACTGTCAAATTCGTGCTCAGCCCAAGAAAAATGGAAAAATCACAAATATAGTGCGTTTCAAATTCTTAAACGCACCCTCTAAAATGATGAATTTTGCATTTTGAACACCGCTGCAACTATTAATCTTTTTCTGTTAGAAAGGGCATGTCTTAAAACCTATAAACACGAAAAATAAGCATACTGTAAAAAGCAAAAATTTTCAAAATAGAAACTTTTTGCTAAATCAACCGTTTCAAATTCTTAAACGCACCCGCCTTTGCTGTTGTTTTTTTGAAATTCTTCGTTTTGTTGTGCATATTTTTTTATTAAATTTATAATTTTTGTTAATTTCCAGGTAAATGGCATACGGAAAGCTGCTCACGGACTATGGGAAAGGCCAGATTGATGCCCGTTTGAGGATTGGCGACTCAATAAGGAAAATCGCAAAAAATTTGGGCCGATCCGACTCTGCCGTGCGAAATTATTAGGTTGTTCGGATATAAACGAGCATTTTAGTAGTCGACAAAATTTATCTTAAAAACAGAAACAACACAATTTAATCTAAAATATATTCACCATTATTCTTGATTACTTCTTGCCATCTTTTGCGCAAAGAATTGATGCCGCTATTGAAAAATTCAGCCGGCTGTGACTCGAAAAACTTGGCGACCCAATTTAGATCATCTTCACGGTTTTTGAATTTCTCATTGGCCAGAAAGTTTTGAATCGACCGGAATCAAAGGTAATCTGAGAGAGCCAAATCGGGAGCATACGGCGGATGTGATAAAACCTCCCATCCTAGTTTCTCTAGTTTTTGCTGAGTCATTTTTGCAACGTGAGGTCTAGCGTTGTTATGGATGAACTTTATCTTTGATGTGTCTACTCCGTAACGAATGAGAGCTTCATTGACCCGATCAAGTTGCCGTTTGTAGAGGTCGGATGTGACTGTTTGGCCGGGTTGTAGAAGCTCGAAATGCACAAGGACCTTGTTATTCCACCATACTGATAGCATGATCTTTTTCCCATGAATGTCCGGTTTCACGGTCGGATTTGGCCGTTCTCCTGGTCCTAGTCATTTCCGTTTTCGAATAGTATTATCGAAATGGATCCACTTCTCATCTCCAGTAACGAGAGAATCAAAAAAGCCATGATCTTTAGCGTGGCGGATGAGGATTCCGGGAATAGCGACCCGTGAAGCTTTGCTTGCACTACTTAACTTGTGAGGAAGCCATTTCCCGCATCTGATCGTCTTTCCAATGGCGCGGAGATGCTCATCAATGGTATAATTTGAACATAGAAACTGTTGAGCAAGTTCACGCGTCGTTTGACATGGATCCGGTTCGATTGCAGCCCTCAAAATAACGTTGTCTACCGCTTGAAGTCGACGAAAGTGTTCATCATTCTCGAGACTTTCATCACCATTCCGAAAGCGTCGGAACCAGGTTCGGCATCGGCTTTCGGACAATGCATCATTCCCAAATGCTTTGACCAAATCTCGATGGAATTCCGTTGTCTTATTTGCTCCGTTGAAATATATCCGTTGAAATCATTTGCTGTCACAATTTGTGCGAGTGAAGCCACAAAGAAGGAAATGAATTCTTTCTTCATTTACAAGCAACTGAAAAGCAACTTTTATTTAAAATTAAAAATTAAAAGCAAACATGTGAATTGTAAAAAGAGAAAGTTTAGTATAAAAACGAGATGTTGTTCAAATAAATACTAAAAAATTTGATGAAGTCATCAAATGAAATTTCAAAGTCTATGTTGTGACAATGATTCGATTCAAAAAGAAATTTTTCTGCTAGAATCATACATTTTTCTTCTTTTTTTTCCTAATATTTAGCCTAATAAATATTTAGCTCAAAATAATTTAATGAGAAAATGAGAAGAAAGATTTTAGCGCTTTTACGACAAACAGCAGTACAAACTGTGCCTGAGTGCGATATTTTTGTTTTAAAAATAAATACTTTATTCAAAAATAAGATCAAACACCTAAATTTTGAGCTAAACTTTTCAATTAAGCAGTTACCTAAGCGGGCTAACACAAAGGTTTGCGTTTCCAACCTGATAAAGGTCCTTTCAAATCATGAAGTTGAAAAAAAGTTCTCGGAAAAAATTTGGCTGGAATTTCTTAAAAACGAATCCACGAATGCTTGGCGCATACTTTATAGTTACTTCAGTACATTAAACAAAGTGATATTGGATTGGAAAAAAAGTTCTCGGAAAAAGTTTGCACGGTGATTTCTCAAGAACCAGGCCATCAATTCTTCCCAGATTTTTTGATAAACTCGACTCTATTTCAAAAGGTTTTTGAACAAAAAAATCATAGTGGGCTTCAGGTAATAAATAAGAAACTTCTTCAGCTGACGTGATTGAGTCACTTTCTGAGTGACCAGCCTTTAGACAAGTTTTTAATGGATCACATTTGCAAAATGTTTAACAGAATTTTGATCGATGGAGAAATCCCTAAATTTTGATCGATGGAGATAAAGGTCCGTTCCAAATTATTAGATTGGAAAGAAAGTTCTCGAAAAATTTCCAGAATTCGACAACAAGAAGCGAAAAAGCCGAAAAGCCGTATTTTGACTTCGGATCTCGAGAGATTTGTTGAATAAACGGAAAAAAATGATGGTTTCAATTTTACCAAATAAATAGAGACTAAAATTTTGCATACTCGTAAAATTGGTATTGATATTTTATTGTTACTGATCAATGTAATGATGATCTTGATCGATTTTATTGATATTGATCAATGTTATTGATATTGATATCAATGTAATGATTACCGTATTATAAGTCTATTATGATTGAAACACAAACTTATTGAAGGTGACTGGAATTTCTACAACGAAAGAACCTCTCCTAGAACTAACCGTGGGATTAACTTTGAACCAATTTCGAAAAAGAGGGATAGGTTGCCCGTCCTTTACAATCTTGAAAGATTCTATTAAATCCGTGACTATTAAATCATGATATAAACTTGAATTTTTGGTCTCTTGGAAAATCAAATCAATCGTTGAATCGAGTGCCTTGTTTCTCCTATTGATTTTTCAAAGTTTTCTTGTTTGATTTCGATCTTTCCGAGTTGTATTTTATTACCATTTGCACACTATGGTAAGATGAAACCTATTTTGGTTGGAAAGAAATTTCTCGGAAAATGTTTGCACGGTGATTTCTCAAAGACCAAGCCATAAATTCTTCCCAGATTTTTTGATTAACTTGCCTATATTTCAAAAAATTTTTGATAAAAAATCACAGTGGGTTTCAGGTAAAAAATACGAGATTTCTTCAGCTGAAGTGCCTTGGTCACCTTTTTGAGTGACCAGCCTTTAGACAAATTTTAATGGGTTAATGGATAGGTAGTGCATTCCATAAAAAACCTAAAATAAAGTATTTAAGACAGGGAAACTTTGTGATTAAGGCCAATTTGATCAAATGCTTTCACTTTTCAGAATCACCTATTTTAGAATGGAATCAATGAACAAAATAAGAACCGAATTTAGAGAAATAGGAACCGAATCTAGAGAAATGATGAACCGAATTTAGAGAAATAGGAACCAGTCGGTAAAACGGAGGACTTTGTTTTAAGGTCGCATTTCTTTTTTTTTTCTGTTTTCTTGCCTTACTTGGAATCTTTTTCATGAGTTCATTTATGGAAACGACATCAAGCAGCTAAATGCGCAACACAAACATCTCCACATCCAAAAACTCCACATGGCCGACTCCACGTCTTCACCTCAGAAATCATCCAATCACCAGATGCTCCATAGAGATAAGTGCACGTTTTGTGACTTGCTCCTTTTTGAAAAACAGCCATAATGTCGACACGTCCTTCCCATTTATCACCATAAGTCGCTGCACGCTCTGCTAACGATTGGATCCCGTCGTGACGTGGTGTCGATTTCCAAGGGCGTTGAAAGTAACGACTAAAATGAAGTATTATCTCAATTCTGACTCTAACTAGTGATTGACAGCGCTTTAAGGCAAAGAAATTTAAAGAAGTTTGGTTGGGGGGCCACCTATATTTTTGATTTTCCAATTTTCTAGAGGCAATGGAGGGCGCAGAGCACGAATTTGACATTTTTAGCATAAGATAATAAACTAATAAACGGAAATTTTTAGCATTTCAACTGAAAAACCAACATTTCGACACGTTGAAAATTACGCTTCTAGGCGCTATTCAGGTTGGGAAGGGGGCACTTTTTTGTTTTCAAAACCGCTTTTTCTCGGGTGGCTTTATGCGTAGATTCCGAAAAACACAACAAGAGCTTGGGAAAATGAGTTTAATTTCAGTTTTGGGGCTTCAAAGTACATAATTTAACCTACTGATTACGTTTCGGCTCAAATTCGGCGAAATAAAACTTTTTTTTTCAGGTTTGGACCATTTGGTCCCCCACATGAGTCAAAATCTCAAAAAATATTTTTTCAATTTGTTTTGCCTCTCTACCAGTCAATTTAGGTTAAAAAATTAGCATTTAGTGGTTAAAAGTGGTTTTGGGTCTAGGTTTGACCTTGAGAAGTGCCCCAATAGTCGACAGCTTGCGTACACAAATTTAAAGTTGCACTTAAAGTGCAAAAAAGTGTAGTTTTCAACGTGTCGAAATGCTGGCTCTGCGATAGAGAACCTATTCTAAAACTGTCAAATTCGTGCTCAGGGCCCTCGATTACCCCAAGAAAAAAGGAAAAAAAAATCAAAAACTACCGGAACCATTACAAAAAAAAATTGTGTGTAGAATAAACAAATGTGTTTCTATGAATTCTTTTTGTTTTTCTTCACTTCAATCAAAGTTTGGCTCCTTTTTGATCGTTTACATAATTTTGATTTCAACGAATGATTTGTGTTTTACAGGTAGCAGGCGTCACAAAACAATTATTATTCTTATTATTATTATTCTTATTATTATTATTATTATTATTATTATTATTATTCTTATTATTATTATTATTATTCTTATTATTATTCTTATTATTATTATTATTATTATTACCTTTCTGTCAGTTTCGCGGAAATCCCTCGTCGCGTTCTCCTTTTTCTCGTGCTCTCTTTGCAAGAATTCAACGTCGAGATCGACTTGATCTTGCGTTTCGCGGAAATGTCGAAGATCGCACTAAATGAAAAATCTATATTCTTTCTGCTTTAGCGGTGTCAAAGAAATTAGTTTCATTTTGGTCAATTTAATATCTCGGAAACTCACCGCCATTTGATAAACATGAACGTAAAGGTCTCGGAAATGCTCATACGCTTGGAAATCAAATTTGTCGTCTCTTCTTTTTTCATATTGCAAAAGTTCTTTGAGATTTCTCTCGTAATAGTATCTCATTTCCTGAAAAAAAAAACAAATTTTAATCAAAATCTTTCAGCAAAACCTCTGGAATCGAGACGATTTTGTGGTGATCGTAGAGATCTTGAAATCTTTTCCAATAGATTTTGTTGGTGTTGAACTTCAAGTACTCCAATTTCTGAGCCATTCTCAGATTGACTGGCACGAGGACTTTCTGAAAAAATTGGTTGTAAGTAGAAATGGGACTTTTTTATCAAGCAAAAAAGTGACTGTTTCAATTTGAGGGGCTACGTTCAAATAATTTCTGTCACTAGTATATCATTTTCAAATAAACTACGATTCTAAGCCGTGTCCCGTTTCTAGCGTAATCTTGTCTTCAATTTTTATCCAGTACATCCACTTTTCGTATCTTTCAATATCCTTTTTGAATATTTATAGAATCAGAGTCGATAGATTGAAGTGAATGAGAAGAGTTGTGTTTCAACTTTACCCAAGTTTATTTTGGCTTTTGAAATTTTTAGCCAAGCTTATTTCTGCTTACATCCACAAAGTTTCTATTCACTCATTTTCTTTTCTTTTAACCCGTTTTCTAAAATGTGTTCCCTTTCTCTTTCTACCGTAATCTTGAGCAAGTAGCAAAAACTCGATCGCTCGATCGCTCGATCGATTTGAATAGTTATAACTGCATAAGGTCTTCAGTCAAATGCTGTAATGTTAAATTTTATTCCTTTGCATTATGTTAACACTTGCGAGTTGAATTTTCCGCTTTTTGTTACTTCTGGCAAAAGTATATAATCCTGAATTTGATTTTTTGAATTGGCAATCACGTTTGCCCATGTAATTTTTTCAAGAGCTTTTCATTTTGCGATTACTTCGTTGCAATCGGGTTATTTACCAATCGACTTGATCAGCACAGGGTTTTTTTTAAATTCTTTTGTTTGATTAACAGCTAGTTTTTAATAATAAAGTTAATTTTAATTTGTTTTTAGACCGAAGTTTTTGCTTGCAAAGCGTTGTCAGCCCAAAAATTTGAATGCCGATTTCCACCATTAGATTCCGGGACTAAAAACAACGCAAGCCAAATAAAGAAAGGGAGCCAAGGCTTCTGTTGCTAAAAATATGTCTCGAAAACATCCATTCTCTCTACTTTAATTTGATATCTAAGCGCGCAGAAACTAACGTACTGGTGCTGAAATCTGAATGTTTCTTTAAGAGGGGAGCTTCTATTAGAGTATTTACAATAACTATTCAAAATCGAGTTTTACTCCTTGCCGTAATCTTGTCTCCAATTTTTATCCAATCTATTCACTTTTTATCTGACTCCGTGTGGGTTCACAAAGAATCTCGCGAAAGATGCGAAAAGTGGATAAATTGGAAAAATTGGGGACAAGATTACGGCAAAAAGGAGTCACCTTTTAGAAAACGGATTAAAAAAGGGAAAACCCACTTTAATGACTATTGGTTTGAAAGTTTTGCTAGACATTCAAGAATTTTTATAGTAACAATATTAAGCTATAGTTCATATTGAAACTTTAGCCTTTTTTCTCCTTTGTTTTCATAAGAAATTCACCACAAGCCCCAAAGTCACTTGTTTCAAGGAATTCAGATCATTTTCAAAATCCTAACAATAAAAAAATCCCAAAGTTCGACCCGCCTCAATGAATTTCCTCTCGTGCTCCAAATGTGCCTGATTTTCGATGAAATTCTTGAGATCGGTGTTTTGAAACGAAAGCTGCTCGTTGATATCTCTAAACTTCTTTTAGTCATTCAATTTCCCAAATTCTCCCAAACTTGAAATTTGTCTCCATCGTTTTCTGGAGCAAATGGATCGATCGCCCGAGATATGGGCCCAACTCGTTGTCGTTGAAATATTGCGCTGAAACAAAGTGCTTAATAAAGTTTAATCTAATAACTGTTTAATCTCTTTTGGCTTGTACTAATGACGATTATTTTTTTGTGTTAACTCAAGCTTTTCAAGATTTTCTTATTCATTTCGCAGAAAGTTTTCAAGATATTTTGTGTAACTGTTGATATATTAGCGATTTTAGAATGGATGTATTCTAAAATGTTTTTAAGGTCAAACCAATTTCTGACTAAATCAATCAAGTTTATTGCCCTGTTTTTCAAATTATTTCGTCCTTGTTCAATTGTTTTTGTTTTTTTTGTTCTTGTTCTAAATTCTCGTTGTAAGTTCTTGTTCTAATTGTTCTAAATTATTCACTTCTTGGCAAATATTCCTTTTGGCAAATATTCCTTTGGCACCTTAGAAGAACAATGTTTCAACTTTGGGAAACTTAAGCCAAGCCATTTCTCAGCAATTCTTGTGTGTGTGTGTTGTGTTTAAACCAATAGATTTTTCAAAACTAAAGTGCTTAACACATTTACGACGATCTGGCCCACATACTAATGACGATTATTTTTTTTGTGTTAACTCAAGCTTTTCAAGATTTTCTTATTCATTTCGCAGAAAGTTCTTGGTAACTTCTCGTACTAGTTTTCAAGAGAAGATTCAAAGCTATCGAATGAGTATAAAAGTTTAGTTTATCTTTGAATATTCACTAAATTTTCCGGTAAAAGTGTTAGCGACTACGCGAGTGTACGCTCAAAAATGCCGCGAATGTGCTAAAAACACTTTTTTCTAGTATGCTTCAACTTCGCAAAGCTTACACCATTCCATTTTCACCAATCAACCCCGACAAAGTCATTAACTTCTTTCAAAACTAATGAATTTTTAAATAAGCAGCTATGTAGCATTTTAAATTGTTAAATTTGTAAGAAAGTAATTCACAAAGCACAAAAGTTTTTTGACTCAACATTTCCCCATCAACTCACTCGCCAAGTGTTCGGTCAATTTCTTCTCGAAAAGTCTCTCCATTTCAGTCATCAGCTCCAAATTCTCTGCTGTGCTCGTATCTTTCCAGAAATTTGTCTATAAAGTTGTTATTTAAAAATTTGTTAGTTTTTCTACCAAGCTGAATTCGGATCCGCTTTGAGAAACATCGAATTGAGATTCGAACTGAAAAATTCATCATAAATTAATTACAAATTTTCATTCATAAAAGTAGTGAAGTAGATTGAAACTCATTTTTGAAAAACTTTTTAAATTTAAAGCATTTACTTGTTATTTACTTTTAACAGGTGGCTTTAAAATTTCTAGTATATTCTGTACCATTTGAGACGGCTTTAAAATTCATACTTAGCAACTTTACGAGCCATTTTTTGAAAAGAACTTTACTGCTAAAAGCCTTTTAGAGCTTTTGGATCTTTTGGATCTTTTCCAATTTTTGAAAAACCTGTGTTCGAAGCTTTTGCAGCACTCCAGGCTCTTTGTCGTACTTGGCTTCGATGTTTTGCATCGTTGTATCGAAACAGACATCAAATGTCTACATTGTGAATGATTGACTTGAGAATTAGCCAATAATAAATTTGGATTCTATATTCATAAATCTCAAATTTTTGACTCAAAAGCTAGGAAGATTGTATCAAAAAATGTGACTTTGTAAAGATTCTTCCGAAAATCGTCGGTGGTCGCTTTCGAGAAGTTCATCTCGTTTCCCAGCAGCTCAAGACCGGCCATCACCTTGAGAGAATGAAAGTGAGAATGGGATATTGTAAAATAAAGGATATTATATAGTATTAGAATAGAATTATCGGATAATTTAAAAGAGGATAATCGGCTATTCGGTTTAAACAGTCAAGTTCGAGTTTTCAAAATTCAAAATTGAGGTTTCAAGTTTGGCTATTTTCAAACAAAAGCGTTTACTCAATCGTTCTCATGATTTCTTTTTTCGTTTACTATTTGAAATACAAATACCGTATTTTCTCTAATAGTAGTGCACCCGGGCGAGCCGAGTTGGTGACTATTTTACGGTTTCCAAGCTTTTGCAGAAGCTCAACGCTCTAATCCCCCACCAGATCTCATCGTCAGCTACATTTTCCCACCCCACATCGTTAGGTTCTGATAAGCGGTTCTCGAGATTTTGAGCAATTTAGGCAACGCTCTGGGTGCACTACTATCAGAGAAAATACGGTAACTTGAAATACAAATAACTTGGAGCAATTTCTAAAAGATAGAAAATATTTGACAAAAAAAGAATCTTCTCATCACCAACTTTTCCTTGAAACGTTTCGATAAGCATTTTGTTCGCCGAAACGCCGTTGAGAACCGAGGTCAACTTTTCGCTCCATTCAATGGAAAGACTCTGAAAGTTTTTACAAAATGATCTATCTATTTGAAAAGTGTGTAAACACAACCCTTCTGGTGCACTTGATTTTTCATTTTCTTACAAGCAAAATGAATTGAGTGCCCCAGAAAGAAAGTTTAGAGGTTTTAGAGTTCAAAGTAAACACTTAAAAAACAATGCATTAGTGATTTTTAGCTAAAGAAAAAAGCTCTTTATTTTGAAACCATTTTCATTTTTTTCATTGAGAAATCAATTTACAATTTGCTACAAACGAAAAGCTTCTTTCAAAAGAAACAACTCTTTGTGTAAAGATCACTAGTAAATGTTCTGTGCTTTGCAAACACAACCTTTCTGGCGCATCGATTTTTCACTTTCTTTTTTCCAGCAACGATTCATTTCGTAAAAGAATTTGAAGAATTAAGTACACCAAAAAGTGTGTGTTGACCAAGTTTTCAGCACAAAGCACACAAACTATAGCTGACCTCAAATTTCGATGTAATAGCCCTTCCCAAATCGATAATCAGACTATCATGCGAGGTCCCGTCACCCAAAATTTCAATTCTGAATTGGAAAATTTTTAGAAAATTTTAGAAAAATCATTTTTCTACCCAGAAATATTGTTCGCCAATTGAATCGTCAACCGGCCATTTTGGTAGAGAGCTTCGGCGAGTTTTCTGTAAAATTTTCTTTCAATTCCAGAGTGACTCATTGAATACCTTTGATTTTGTTATAATTTTATTAGAAAAATTGGCTCTTTCGTAGTTTCTGGGTATTTTGAACGGGTCGTCACGCTTTGAAGGCCCGTAACTTTGTCCAGAGACAATATTTTTACTAACTTTTTATATTATTGTACAGAGGACATTTCAAGCTTTCAAATGATACCAAATAGAGCTTGATTGGATAATTGAGTCGGCGAAAATCAGAGCCAACTCCGAAAATGAGCCCTATCCAACTCCAGTGTCGTGTCGCCTTGTCTGCATAGGAATGAAAAATCCAATCTGGCTCTTTTCTGTATTATTTGAAAGCTTGAGATGTCCTCTGTACAATGATATAAAAAGTTAGTAAAAATATTCTCTCTGGACAAAGTTATGGGCCTTCAAAGTGTGACGATCCATTCAAAATACCCAAAAATTACGAAAGAGCCTAAAAGTTTTTCTCCGATTTCTAACCGGTTCGCGTCTTTCGCAAAAGAGACAGGCAATTTTTCAATGGTTCCATTTTGAAGCATACTGCCGATGCTTGATCTGAAATTTCTCATTTCTGAAAGGTTAAAGCTCATTTTCAAACCCAAGTTTCAAGTTTGCTAAAAGGAAAATGGAGTTCTAGAATTCCATGGTTTTTTTTCCAAAAACTTACGTAAGCTTTTGTTTCAAAACCGAATCCAACGTGCGTTTCATTAGCCAATTATTCCGTAATCCGGTGAGTGTCGCGTTCAAATCCTCCCTGGAAAATCGGTGCTTAGATAGTGCGCCATAAAAAGTGTGTTTACATTTTCTCAAGCCCAAAGTACATAGCCTCACCTCAAATCCTGATTCAATCGATTCAGCTTCGGATTTGTGCGAATCGCTGGCTCGGCAAGCTGTGAAGCAATCTAGAATTGAAAAACTAATACTTGCAAATTTTTTTTCTAACAAGTACACTTATTTTTTTGAACCTGTATTTTTTTCTCGGCTGTCACATTTTTCGAGAGCATCACCCCGACTGTGGTTTGAGCCTGAATTTAAGCAAATGAAAGCAAAAATTCGAAGAAAGCAAATGAAAGCAACAAAAACTCTAAGAAAATTTAATGCTTATCGGTTATATCCCAAAAAAAACTCGTCAAAATCCTTCAGCAAAAAATCGGTTATATTCTCGCAAAATTTGTGTTTTGACTCAATTTGCATTTGTTTTTGACTCAAAAAAAACCCAAGCAAAGAAGAATCTACAGGCAGCAAATCTCAATTTTGCTAAATTTAGCGCTTAGCATTTAGCATTAAGAAAAATTTCTAAGTGCTCAATTGATAAATCGATTTTGCAAAATGCTTCTTCTAAACTGAATATTTTGATGCCGCTACATAAAGCCAACATATTGAATGCCAAAATGCTAGATGAAAAATGGAAATTACGGTCGACTCTCTCTATAACGGGATGAAAGGGACTAAAAATTTTTTCCATTATATAAAGCTTGGCGTCGGGACCAAAATTCCATTTCGTTATATAGAGCTTTCCGCTATATCTAGTCTTACTGTACTATTTTTTGGTTTTCTTTCTTTTTTGTGAAAGTATTCTAGCAACATTTTATATGCGGCTATGATTGTCTGATTCGCTTCTATTTGATGATTATCTGATTCGCCCCCTGAATAAAGCATATATATAGAATTCTTTTATAGAGAGAGTTGATTGTAGTTTGGTGAACTCGCGTCTGGGATCCTCGAGCAAATTTCCGTTTTCTACCCACTCCTGACTGTGATTATTGTTTGTTTTTTTTGGGAAAATGCAAAATTTTGTGGGAATATAACCGATATACCGAAAATTCTCACCTTGTTGTCATCGAAGAAATCGTAGACTTTCTTGCCCAATTCGGCTAACTGAAAACGAAAATTTAAACTATTTAACGATTTGAAACGAACTTTTTGTTTTGTTAGTCTTACGAATTTGAAGATATTTAGTCAAATCTCTAGACCTCTAGAAATTTGATTTCGAATCGAATATTTGAAGAATTGAATTTAGCTCATTCTTTTAGTAAAACTGAATCCTGAGAAACTGAGACTTTGCTTCAACTTTTAACTATTTAAATTGAACTAAATTCACCCAAACTAGCTCTTTTCCCCAATCGAATTTATCATATTCAATTCGAAGGAAGGTCTAGTTTAAGATTTCAAAGTTCTAAACGATTTAAATGGGATTTAAAATGGTGATGGTAATGGGAGAATTCTTAAAACTAAACAAATTTCTACGAATTCAAAGCTTTCGAATATTTTTTGCTATTTGGACAAGCCTCATTCAACGCCGAGATCGAGTTAAGGAAACCATTAGCCGATTTGGTGAAGAAGAAAATGAATAAGAATAGAGGAATTGATAGATTCATGACGATGCTAGCTAAATGCTAAACGATTTTGCTAAATGATAACGATGCTAAACGATGTTTCGATTTCTGAAGTTACATTAACGTAAACACCAAGAGGAAATCAATATTTAACCAATCTAATCGCAATTGAAAATCTCAAGTTTCAAAGGGATTTAGTTCAAGATGTTCTCTGAGAAGTTAATAAGTAAAAAAACAAATTTTCAAAAAAAACTATAAAAAAGGATGTTTTTCTATGAAGAAAATAGCAATTTAACTAAGCTTTTGTTTTTTTAAAAGTAAAAATGTTCACACAAACTTTAAGAGGCAATTTTTATGCCTGACTGATAAGAAAGTTTTCTCGGAAGCGGAGAAAAAAGACGTTTTAATTTCCTGGAATCAAAAAGCTTATGGGAAATCAAAAAAAGAATGATTATCAGCTTTAATTTTCGACATAAAAGCAGATGTTTTTGAGCTAAAATGGTTTTTTAAAAAATTTTTCTAAAATTTTGTTAAAACTTTATCAAGTGATCATAAACCTAACTTGGATCATAAACATTTTTGGATGAAATTTTATTTCAAATTTGAAAAGGTTAAGATAAAATGAAAAGATATAATTGTAATTTTTCCCCACTTTTGGATGAGTAAGAAGTTTTTTTGAGAAATGTTTTTCAAATTCTTATGTCAGTTGGCTTTTTTTTACTTTACACTTTTTAGATCAAAGATCAATGTGACTAGGAAACTATTCCAAATTGGCAACGAAAGAGTTTAAAGGCTTAAAAGTTTAGGAGCGAAAGAGCTTAGAAGCTTAAGAGCTTAGAAGCGAAAAAGTTTAGAAGCGAAAAAGTTTAGGAGAGAAAGAGTGTAAAAGCGAAAGAGTTGAAAGGAGTTTATCTGACTCAACTTTTCTTTCAACTTTGGCAACAACAATCAAAATCGAAAAGCAATAGTTTCTTAGCGCCTCAACGCTATAACTAATGCTCTAATCCTATTTAGTCAGAATTTGTTTCAATTACTCAACAAAATCTCTCCGCTTTCAAGAAATCTTCTTTGGGACAAAGCTCATTAGAGGATTGCTTCAGGTTAACGTCGACTTGGGATATGGGATCGAGCCCAGAACGATTCTAATTTCTAACTCTAGTTCTAATTTCTAATTCTAATTTCTAATTCTAATTCTAATTCTAATTTCTAATTCCACGCCACCTTGAAATTCTAAAGGATACGTGTTTTTCAGTTTTACTCCATAGCATCTAGTTTTCGAGAAAAATACTGCTGAAGTTTGAGCACTTTTTTGAAAAAACGACGCCGCCGCAGTATGACACCGAATTACTTATCCTCCAATTACTTATCAAAATCTTTTTGCTTCTCTGTTAAAACACCAAAATCAATTTTTAAGTCTTTTAAAGTCTCTATAAACAGTAAGAAGCTAAAGATGGCTTCTGGAAATGGCAAAAGATGGCTCTTCAAGCCCTCTTTGAAAACCGTATTCAAAATTGTGAGCCTCAATCTTTATGGAGCTTCAAATTTCTCTCTAAATTTTTTTTCTTTATATCCAATCTTTCTAATCTAAAATTTTAACATAATTATCTATGCTTTTGCGTCGAATGATAATAAACACTTGATGGTTGGACGCGCCAGGATCCACTCATTGAAAATCGGCTGAATTTCAAACTCTGGGTTCTGCCGATTTTCAATGAAACGCTGTAGTGCCCGCAATTTTGAACCTAAACACATTTGGTACCAATAGATGCAGAATTTAATCCCCTAAAAATGCGATAAGATTGTCTTTATAAATTAAAGGGTTGTTCTACTAGAAAGGTTCGCCGAAAAGTTTCATTCAAAATCGACTACGACATATATATTGCCAATGGCTTGCACATTGGGATGCACTGGCTCGTGTTAGAGAGTTTATTAGAATAAAAAAGATTACGGTAGAAAGAGAAAGGGGACACGTTTTAGAAAACGAAATCGCGAAACACGCCATATACTTGGAATTAATGTTTCTATTAGGTTGATGCAAAAGTCTTTTTCATTTTTTTCGTCTGCCGTTTCAAGCCAACAAATGCACCAATTAAACTACGGTTGATTTCATTAGAAAAACCAATTATTTTTCTGCAAAATAACATTAAAACGGGTTTAAAAATATTTTATGCCTGGATTTTCTTGAGAGTATGAAGTCGGGTAGTCAAAAAGGGCTAACTCGATGATGCGGTTTAGACACCTTAGCTAAAGAAAACCTATCTTTGTGTCAATAGATAAAAGATAGAGAAAAAAAAGTTTGATATTTCGCCAAAATTTCAGAGAAATTCATTCAGCCAATTTTTCCGTAGAGTTTTTTATAGATTTTTACGAAAAAGGCGTTTTTCACTCTCGAATTTGCTTGAAAGTGAACCGAAATTGATTTAAAAAGATGGAAATTGAACAAAAAAGCACTTTTTTTATAGAGCAAACTATAGATTAATTGGTGAATTTGTTACTTTTTAACAGAAGTACGAAAAAAATTAAAAGACTTATGCATCAACCTAATCTATGGTATGATCATCACACTCTCTCTCTCCAAGACTACAAGATCTATAGTTTCACAAGTTTAAAACTGCGGATAAATCTTTGGATCGAAAACGACCGTCCCGAGAGATCTATCAGATATCAGATCCGCATTGAGTCATTGCAGGTTGGAGTTAAATCAGATCAGCTCCAAATTGAGTCAGATTCGGTTGACGTTGTTCTTGAGAGTTAGTTCGTTATTGGATCCTGGGAGTGGTAGAAGTGATCGGATAGCAAGCAAACACTTACTCTCAACTAGACAGTAATCACTTGCAGAATCTGGCTAAAGCCCTTGAGATAAAAAGACTAAATCTGAAAAAAAGACAGATCGCAGCATGACAATGCTCGCCTACACATTGCTAAACGCTCTACAACCAAGAACCTAAAAACTCGGAACTTATCTCCCATCCAGCATATTCCACAGATTCTTCATTCTGCAGTTTGTAGACTACTAGCAGCTAGCCTAGCTCCATGCCAAACAATTTTATTTCAGCCAATGAAAAATCTCTTAGTCGGATAGCACTTTGAAGATAGAAAGATACCAAAACATGGGTACGGAGCTAGTTTGACTCAAAACCAAGACCGAATCGAACGCACATGTCGAGTAGATTTCTTATTGCAGATTCTTACGATCCATATTTATCGAGCAAATGTAAAATCGAGGCGTCAAGCAATCGACGGCCATCCACTTAGAAGTTGATGTATCCATGACGGTCCAGTTGTTAGAGAGATTCAGATTCGGCTCTCCTGAAATGGAACGGATATTTTGTATTTTTTTTCATTGTTACTAGAAATTCCTCAAACCTGGTGCCCAATTCTGGTAAGTCAACGAGGATCCATCAGAATAGGTCCAAACTTGATTTGAGTTTCGCTCAACGCCAAGATACGTCGCTGAAATGATATTCTCTTAGTTGAAATTATTTCACTAACTTAAATTGAAAAATCCGTGAATCCACATATTCTCGAACATGTTCATGATTTTGATCGGATCACCGCGCATCGAATGGCATTTTGTGAGAACATCGGTATAGGGAAGAGCTGAAAAGGAGATAATTTGCCTTTTAACGTAGATAGTGTCAACTTCTAGAAGTTCTAAGCTTCAAATAGCAATGTAAAGAGCTCAATTGGACAGCACAGTCATAGAATCAGAGCTGAAGTGAACGAGTGACTTGGCTTATGCGTAGATTCCATATTTTCTCATGGCCATTTGAAGTCAAATGATTAGGAGGGTGTGCCAGCCAGGGCTGTGAATTTTGAAAGCTCCTAGTAAACATGTCAGATCGGATCGGATCAGGTCCGATCCGATAGGTCGGACTGATTGGGCTAACCTGATCCGATCCGGTCCGTTTCGTCCAACCGATCGGGCTAGCCCGATCCGATTCGATCCAAAGGTCGGACCGATCGGGCTAACCCGATTCGATCCGGTCCGATCCGTCCAACCGATCCAATAGGTCCGACCGATTGGGCTAACCCGATTCGATCCGGTCCGATCCGTCCAACCGATCTGGCTAGCCCAATCCGATCCAATCCGATCTGATTTTGCCAAAAAACATGTCTAGCTCCTGGTGACCGCGCCGGCGAGTTGACTAACAAGATAGATAATGTTAAAAACGAACCGGATCGAGAAATTTTGAGTGTCGTAGACCCTTGACATGCTGGGCCGTATATTAGAGCTTTTACACTCACCCTGATTCCCAGAATAAACACAAAGATGATCATTCCAATCGGTTATCGTTCCATTCAGACAATCAATGGCTTCTCCAAAATAAAAGAGAGAAATAAAGAGGAGAATTCTCAAGAAAAACATTTCTTTTCTTATCTCCTTTTCACTTCGTCTTTTAAATGATCAGTTCATGGTGATAAATCGTGATTTTAACTCGGAAATGACTGTTTGTGAGGTGTCCAGAGCCCTTATCAGAGAACCTAAACAGTACCTGAACTTGATCTTCTTTGAAGACAAAGAAGCGCAAGTGCCCACGCGAATTTGAAAAGGCCAGTGATCTAATCTTTCTGAACAAAACTATTATACAAAGTTATACATCCACACAGATTCATTTCGGTTAAGCAAGGAGCTGACGGTTGAGCAAGCTGTGAGCGGTGATGTTCAGTGAAGTAGCGTGCTCGCCTGAAGCGATCAGTCGATCGCTTCAGGCTCGAACGAGAATCGATAACAGAGAAGACTCACCAGAATCACGGAAAGCTTAAACCACAGACTCCTGGTCTATGCTCCTGGGCAACTTAAGAATTTCAAAAATCTTTTAGAAAAATTAATATTTAAGATAGGTTTAAATTAAAAATTATTAAGAAATGTAAAAAAAAATAAGTGTCTATATCGAGAGGGGGCGTCACGGAACGAAAATCTCGGTTAAAAAGTCTGGGATCTGGGATTTTAGACCGGATCACACTGAATTGAACACAAAAGTTTCCTGTGTTCAGTGAAATAGCTCCCTACACTTGTAAACTAACATTCACTAAGCTCAGTGAAATCAGGAATTTACGTAGATGTACCCAAATAGACTGGTAAGTTTGTCAAGTGGACCGGACCAGAATCACGAAAATCTGGCAGGATCTTTCGGTCATAACTTGTTCTCCAAAAGCGGAACAGCAATCACGATGTGATTCGGCAGCGCTTTTGCTCATCTTGAAATCGTAGAGAAGACACACGCGCACAACATGCTTTTGATCCACCATGATCTAAAGCAATTATTAATTAAAAGGTGAAAGCTCTGAATTAGAAAAAGCGTAAAAATAAAGTAAATATTTAAGAGTACAAATATACAAAAGAAAATTAAATAAGATTGCTGATTAAAAATTAAAAAAGAGTAGACCGATTTCAATGACAAATTTGGATTGGTCAAATAGTGTTTCGAAACAATGGGAATAAGCATAAATATTTATATTGTCACCTTAACAATGCGAGTTCAGGGAGTTCAGGGAATTTCAGGGAATAGATGGAAAAGACAATCTTGGGCATATCTGTAAAAAGAAAGAATTCAATGGGAAACCCGTTTTATTTTTACCGTTTCTGTAGAGCATAACTCTTCGAAGTTTATTAACGATTCAGAAATCTACTGTAGTTGTTTTCCATTTTGTGTCCCATTTTCCAACCGAATAGCTTTTCATTTTGGTTATCGGACATTTGATACGCGCCCCGCCCCTTTGGCCATTGGCAATCTAACTTTGAGCTCAAATATAGCTTTTAATTTCATCAATGCCCCATTTCCTTACTCATGCCGAACTCTAAAACGAATATGCCACCGTCAATCTGTCCATATAGAGCGCCATCTCGACCAAACACAGAATGAATACATAGAATAATTTCCAACTCATGATAAACACAAAGAAAAATCAAATAGCGGGATACAGAAGCACTTCCGGAATGGATGCAATCAATTTCACAAAATATCTAACCCATCGGCTTATCCGGGACAAAAAAACCCGGGATTAGTGTTTTGTGCCGTCACTGATAGGTATTCAATTCCTTTCTTTCAGTCGAAAACGGTGTGAAGTGAGTGGAAATTTACTGTTAGGCTTATCTACGGCGATTCGGTCTCTCGTCTTTTTATTTCTTTGTGATGGACTGACCTTTACGATTTGTTCCATCCTCGAACTTTCGCCGATCGAGTTTGCGTTATTTGATCGCTTTGATCTTTTGCTCTGTGAAATAATATGAAAAATCAGACAAAAGATTTATTTGAGCTCCGCACGAAATACATAAAGTTTAGTTCTTGTCCAATGCTCGATTCCCAGCCTGCCCCTATAGTCTCCTAGATAAAAATCATTCAACTAACAAAATTAATTAACTTTACGCTGCTATTTGCCGACAAGCGTTCGACGAGCGAAGCACTAAACCAAAATAACTGTTTTTTGAAAAGAAAAAAACTCACGGCCATTTGTAGGATGACGGTCTATCGACTTTGAGATTATGATCACTTTCCAAATAAAAACTAAAACCATTTTTAGAAAAGTTGAACGAAGAAAAGCCCACTTTGTGACTCTTTTGCAGTCAATGGCTTCAGGTGGAGGCGGGTTAAAGAATTCACGGACTAAATTTGTTAGGACTATCAAAAAAGTGGCTTCTAGTAGTTACTAAATCTTTGGGTTGTTGCTGAGTGGGGCGTGTGTGTTTCCCTCTGTTTTGGCTTGGCTGAAGCGACTGCTGTTGCGTTGTGGTGGTTGTGGTAGCTGCAGTGTCCCAATGTAATTGTCGTGCAGGCCCGTGGCCAGGGGGTGCTCCCTCCCCTGAAATTACATGCTGAGCGTTTAGGACTGTAGGGTATGGGGAAAAATGGAAGGAGGAGTGAGTGCAAAAAGAGATCTATTTAGTCTAAATGTTAAAAATGATGATTCGGATGTAAAGTTCGGCAAAAAATTTCGTGAAGGTTCTATGTTATACCCATTTTGATTCCGCTCAATTTTCGAATCTCTTCTTCGAATTCCATTTTTAACGGTATTTGAAGCTACCTCGTATTTTTCATTTTCGGTTCGTTTTGGTGATAAGGTAAATACTAAACACAATTACAATCACAAAATGAACTAATCAATATCATGGCGAAGATGGTGATCACGAACCTCAAAGGGCAAATTGATACAGCAATTGGATTTTCTATTTTGGTGGATGAATCAAGCTCCCATAGCCGAGAAATATTGATTATTTTTTTGAGACTTGTATCAAGTTTTTTTTGGCTTTTATCGTGTTAAAGATTTGACTGGTGAAGGACTAAAAAACAAAATATTTGAAATTCTCAATCACTTAACATGGCCGGTCACATCAAAGGTGTTCAAGCTAGAATTCGAGAGATTTATCAAAAAGCTGCTTACTGCCACTGTTCATCTCATCGACTAAATTTGGTTGTGAATGATGCTTCGAAAAGTCCAACTATTGGAAATGCTGTCGAAACGATTGGCCAATTATCTACTTATCTGCGAGTCCCATCGCGAGCATTGATTTTTGAACAGATAGCAAATAAACAAGGAGCGAATCACAGAAGAATTCAGAAATTTTGCAACACTAGATGGGTCGAACGCCACGGAGCTTTTTCGCAAATCATCGAACTATTTCCTGTAATAAAAGAGATATTGGAGCAACTGACTCAACGAGTTTCTGAAAATGAAGCTTTGAGACCATCTGCCAGTCAATCCGTCATTACGTGTTAGCCAGCCTAGTATTATGGACTAGCTTGTTATAATCAAGGTCGGGCCGCAAACCCAAATACTTTTTTGAAAATTGAATTCAAGGTGTTCTTGAACAGTTCCTAGTAAACGGTTATGAAGACTTATCAATAGAAAATGTAATTTTGACTGAAATAAAATCAAACGTGATGGTTGGCGCATGTGCTAGTAATAAGCCAGATGCGGCGTTGTGGAAAGAACGAGATTGCATCAGCTTCCATAGTCGGTAAGCGAAACATGATTCCATCGCGTCCTTAGAAAAAAGCAAAAAAATTATTTTCTGTGGTTATTCTTGTTCATTTTCATGGAAGGATGCAAATTTGGCGGATGTATAACGGAAAAGAACCTTTTTCGCGTTGATAGTGAGCTAAAACTTACATATTATCGGTTGAACCAAAAGATTTTGGATCTCGGAAGCCATTCGCTGCATTTTCTTTTGTGGTTCATACTGGGTGCTACCCCATGTCCAATCCTTTTGATCCTCTTTAGCTCCGTGATGCTGGCTCATCACGAACTTTCGAATTTTTTCCTCTTCTTCAGACTTTTGGATCCAATTTGCCTAAAAGCTTCTTGTCCCTGCTGCCTCTCCTGGATTTACTAACAACTTTTTTTTCGCAATACCTTCAAATAAACGTAAAAACTCACCCGTGTGCCTGTGTAGCATCCAACATTGAGAACGACTTCACCTTTGTACGCCCATTTACGCCGCGATCCACAAGTGATAGTTTTTGTGTCTGACGGTGAATCCATCTGGTCGTTTATCTGAAACACACTTTTGAGGCAAAACTGAAAAAGAACCTCCCACTCGAACTAGCGCGAAATGGTCTGGATCAGCAGTGCATGTGAACGTTCGATCGATCCAAAAAAATTGACTGTAATTGAGTGATGAAGATAAAATGAGCAGGTAAAATGAGCTCTAGCGACCAAAAAGCCTTGAGCCAAGGGCCGGACCATAGCTGTGGGCAAGCCTTGATCGAGGCCGAGCTTATTAAGGCTTTCACCGGGCCGAGCCCGGGAAAGTTTTCACAAAACACGCTCACTTAGACGTCACATCGCTCGTAAGGTTTCTCCAGCTGCCACCAGCCAAATGAATTTGAATGTTTGCACTCTGTTTCTTGCACTCTTCAATCCATTCTAAAAAAACAGTCAGTAGACGAGTTGGGTAACAAAAAAAGAACAAAGTAATCGATCGAAACCAACGAACCTTCATTTGCCGTCCCAATTTGTGCCAGTGAAGCCACAAGCAAGAAAACGAATTCTTTCTTCATTTACACTTAAAAAGCAAATTTTTAAAAATGTGAATTGTAAAAAGAGAAAGTTTAGTATAAAAACGAGAAGTTGTTGAAATAAATTGACTTTGGAATTTGATTTGACGACTTCATTTTCTCATCAAATTTCTATTTTCTGATTGAAAGGTCTATGTTGTGACAATGATTCGATTCAAAAAGAATTTTTTTGATAGAATCATACATTTTTCTTCTTTTTTTCCTGATAATATTTGGCTCAAAATAATTTAATGGAAAAACGAGAAGAAAAATTTTCGCTTTTAGGACAAACTGTATCTGAGTTGCCATATTTTTGCCGAAAAATAAATACTTTATTCAAAAATAAGATCAAACACTTAAATTTTGAGCTAGACTTTTGAATTAACAGTTACCTAAGTGGGCTAACACAAAGCTTTGCGGTTCTAACGTGATGAAGGTCCCTTCCAAATTATTAGGTTGGAAGGAAAGTTCTCGGAAAAAGTTTGACTGAATTTCTTAAAAGTGAATCCACCAATGCTTGGCGCATACTTGATAGTTACTTTATAGTTACTTCAGTACATTAAACAAAGTGGTATTGGGTTGGAAAGAAAGTTCTGGGAAAAAGTTTGCACAGTGATTTCTCAAAGACCAAGCCATAAATTCTTCCCAGATTGTTTGATGAACTTGACTATATTTCAATAAGTTTTTGACTAAAAAAAACCAGAGTTGGCTTTAGGTAAAAAAAGAAGAGATTTCTTCAGCTGAAGTGATTTGGTCACTTTTTGAGTGACCAGCCTTTAGACAAGTTTTTAATGGGTTAATGAATAGGCAATGGGTTCCATTTCAAAACCTAAAATGAAGTACTTAAAATAGGGAAAATTTGTGATTAAGGCCAATTTGATCAAATGCTTTCACTTTTCAAAATCACCTATAACACTCAGTGCCAAGAAGGTGACACCCAAATTATTTTTTGAAAAAGCTTCTCTGTTAAAATTTTTTGGCTAAAGATAGAGATTATAGAGCGTATTGATCATTGTTCATTTATGCTAGCTTTACCTCATAAGGAAGCCGCAAAAAGTGGTCAGAATTTAAGCTGGAAAATAATAATTTTTCAAAAATCTCTAAAATTTTACGGAGCTACACTCTTTTTTTACAAGTAATTTCTTGGAGTCGACTTGTAAATAATAGGACAAAATATATATGCTTTATTCAGTTGAACTTCTCGAGAACTTTCTTTCCAACCTAATATTGTGTTTCGCCGTCCGAATTATTCGGTTTACTTTTGTCGTATCCCGTATAGAGCGTATTGCTCATTTATGGTGGATTGGTTTACAAGAAATTCCAGTCAAACTTTTTCCGAGAACTTTCTTTCAAACCTAATAGATACTTAAAACCACCAAAAATTACTGCTTTGACTTATTTGAACTATTGAAATAACCAGGCATGAAGTCAAAAGAAGAAGCACAAAGATTTTCATTTCTCGTTTTGTGATTTTGAAGAAGCTGTTTATTTGGAGACATTTTTAAAGTTTTAAAGGAAGGAAGGAATTAATGAAATCAAATTGAGAAAACTATTTTAAAGATGTGAATGTAATCAACTATTGTTCAATTTTAAAATGTCAACTACATGAAAAGTCATTTAAAAATTCAGGAACCCTTTTTAAGGCCGCATTCCTTTTTTCCTGTTTTCTTGCGTTACTTGGAATCTTTTTCATGTATTCCTTTATTCAAACGATATCAAGCCGTTAAATGCACAACACAAACATCTCCACATCCAAATGCACATGGCCGACTCCACGTCTTCACCTCAGAAATCATCCAATCAGTAGTCCCGAAACTTGACTTAAAACTCGGGCTAACCTGTGTGATGTTCTTGACGGGTTCTCTCGAATGGTAAAGAAAATTGAGACTCTTACTAGTTTAATATGATTTCAGGTCGGCTCCCACATTAATCGAACATGGAAAAGCCTCAAAATTGAATCTAAGCAAGACTGAAGATTTGACGCACAATCAAAAAGACAAGTAAAAGAAAAAGAATAACCCTTTTTTCATGGACAATTTGGTGTTTAGTATCACATTGGTTACCGGAGCGATAACATTAGTTTCGGGACTTTTCGGTGTCGGGATGGGGTCATTGATAGCTCACGTGAGTAATAGCAATTCGAATTCGAATTCTAAATCAAAATCATTTACATTGCAATAGAATAATTGAATAGTAGGATAATTGCTATTTTAGTGGCTCCAAATAGGCAAGCGACCATTTCGACGGTTCAAAACGCAAAGCGCTGATGCATGGGTTTGCACGATGTGAGTGATTGGATACGAAAAGTCTAAAAATTCAAAGTTTCCCTACTAGGCAGGTTATCGGACATTTGATATGCGCCCTGCCCTTTTGCCATTGGCAATCTAACTTTGAGCTCAAATATCTTTGTGTTGGGCTGTCGAATTTAAATATTCTTGAGATTATTAGATGCGCCAAGTCTTTCTCTGTTGACTAGTACAAAAACTATTTAAATTGGACAGCCTAACACCAAAATATTGGAGCTCAAAGTTAGATTGCCAATGGCCAAAGGGGCGGGGCGCGTATCAAATGACCCACAATCACTAGGCACAATCAAAAAAGTTTAGCGGTGCGCTCATTTGCATTCCGACAATGGCCGTCGGTTTTCCACTGGCAAAGGAACATTTGACAATTGCTTATGTACGTAAAAGAGACGACCAATCTCAATGAACACTTATAGGTTCTCTTTTTCATCGGCATTACCGCCGCTTGTTGCAATTTAGCCGTAGTGATCGATTTACAGTTGGTGAGTTGTACAAAAAAAGGATGAGATTTGCTTATCGGACAAAGCAGGTGCAGAATAGAAAATGGATTACGATAGAAAATACGAAAAAGAACTAGTAGAATATTCTATTTATCCGAGATTTCTATTGGAAACTAAACTGACGGACTTTGTGGGTGGGGGTACCTATATTTTTTATTTTTTCACTTTTCTAGGGGTAATCGAGGGCGTTGAATACGAGTTT